ATGCCCCTTCAGTGCCCCTTATATACTTAGAACCGTAGCCCATTCACTCGGTCCTCGTTGAGGAGAACGTACTGAAGAGAAGGGTGGGGCTGGGGGGAGAGGGGAAGGGGAGGGGGATATGGAGAAGTGTGGGGGAAGTGGGGAGAAAGGTGGGGGTGAGGGAGATGGGTGGGGGTGAGGGAGAAGGGTGGGGGTGAGGGAAAATGTTGTGGGTGTGTGGGTACCGAGAGGAAGGGGAGGGGGGATGGGTGGGGGTTGGGGTGGGGTAGATGAAGTGGAGTGTGTAGGAAGAGAAGGGGAAGGGGAGATAGGTGGGGGGGGGGTTGAGGGAGAAGGTTGGGGTGTGGGAAAAGAGTGGGGAGGAGGTATGGGGGATAGGCTAGAAGCGTGGGAGATGGGGTGTAGAGATTAGGGGGGGGGGGCGAGAGAGAAGGCCGGGGGAAGGGTAGCTAGGAAGGTAGGAGATGAGGGAATTAGGGGGGGGGGATGAGTATGTATGGGAGAGAAGAGAAGGGCGAAAGCCTTTCTTTTTCTTCTGTGGCAGGATAAGAAAATCAAGAAACTCTATAAGCACAGAAAATTTAACTGCTAGTTAAAGGGCATGGAAAATGGACCAGAAATACATGTAATATAGCAAGATAACCTTACATGTTATCTTATTAGATTTTATTGAGATCGCTTTATCAAATACAATAATAACGATACCTTATTGACATATCCATTATCCGGAGCAGTAAATTCTGAACAATTATTGCACAGTTTGGAATCATCGCGCCATCCTCGACGACGCAGGAGGGGGTGAAGGAGGGGAGGTAGAAGTAGAGGGGGGCACTCGTTCCACCTCCGGCAGGATGCGACTCGTGCCAGGGATAGTGGAGATGAAAGGAGGCCAAAGCGATAGATAGCATCCGACACGGAGGTAAATGTTATTCGCTAAAACGGAGAAGAGAAAGGTTGGCCAGCGTGTCCTTTTTTGACGGATTGTCAATTTCTGTTGTTGTTGTTTTTTTCTCTCTCTCTTTTTGGAAACTCTCTCATTATCAATAGTGCTATCAATATTGCCGTTGTTGATTCCTCCTCTCCTTCCTTTCTATTGCATATTCCATGAAATCACAAACATAAACAAAAGAGAACAGGCCCGTAACTCGCAAAATAGATATCCTAATTGCATCATCGGAAAGTACGGGAACCATGTGTTGACCAGTGACCACACATGGCCCGCGGTGAACCATGGACCAGAACGAGGTCTTAGTTAGCAATTCTGCTTCTTCTTCTTAATAGTTATTTTTTATGTGAAGCACTCTTACTTTCGATGGAATATTCACCTTGTCGTCGTTGTTGTTGTTTCCGAGTATAGTGGTGGGAAAATTACAAAAAAAAAAAGTCATATAGCACCATTAAATATAATTTTTGTTGTTTTTTCTTTTTTTTTGTTTTGTTTTCGTAAAGCTCTGGGAATGGTATACACATATTCTTATTTACTAAACAGAACAGGAAGCTTTTCCATCACTTTCACCCTTCTGATCAACTTACGAAGACATCTCTTCCTCAACACAGAGACGAAGGAAAGTCTTTAGATAGTGAGTTTGCTGTTAAGATTTTCCCCCGAGGAAGCGGACTAGTAAGTGAAAGACGGAATCTCAACGGGTTTTTAGAGAGTGAGACGCTTTTTGACCTTAAAGAAAAATCTCTGCCTTTTTTTTAACATTCACTCGTGATATTATAATGACTTTCATCAGCCCACGAAGCAGTTGAATGATATGTGTTTCAAAGGCTATCAAACTATGAGAACTGCACCATTCTAAAACAACAACAAAATAACTATTCTGATCTTCATTGCGTGCTTCTTTTCTTGAGTCATTGTTAAAAAGGATTCTCTCACTCCTTCAGCAATGTCACTTTGCTTTTGAAATTCACTCGTATTACAAAAAAAAGCCTTCCATCGGTCTATAATGCATTTGAATATGTTTCAAAAGCTCTCAAAACAAGAAACTTCCACTATTCCTAAACTATTCTTCATTATGTGGCTTTTCTCGAGTTAATCATCAAAAGACATTAAATTACACCTTAATGACTTCGTTTTCCAATGCTCTTGATAATGACTCTTAACACAGGGGACATGGCGAGGATTTAATGTTATTATGACTAAATAATGTTGAGGATTTGAATTAAACAGAACTTTTATCAGTCAACGTTGTGACAGATTATAGGAAGTTCATATTATTTTTTCCCTAACTAAGGCCAGGTGTTCCGTGAGGTTAGCGCGATAGTCAAATTTGTTTAGTAATGATAATACTTTAATTCTTATCAATCTATCGAATGATAAGTGCATTGTGGTCGCCAACCTTGAAATGAAACAATGATTTTCTCTGTATCTGACAAAACAAAGGTTTTTTAATCTCTATTTTACATTTTAACTTTATCGGTGGTGACATTTAAGAAAAGATGAAGGCGTGGCAAAGAAAATTACAAATTCCGCAGGAAAACAAAAATGAATGAA